GTCCCTCTGCCCTTCGGAACTGACTGGAGCCCTGCCATGGCATCCAGTTCGGTGCCCTCGAGGCTTCCTGACCCATAGTTTCAGGACTTCATACCTCTCACTCCTAATGTGCCTCTATGCTCTTTTGTTGTTCTTTTTTTAAATAAAGATTTGATTTTTGATGTATGCATGCAAAGAGTTATAAAATGCATGAGCACAAAATGGCATTCGTCTATTTGTGATTAGCCGTCTGATAAAACCCAAAGGAGGAAACTTACTCCCTAAGCATCTCTAGATTATGTGGTTAAAACTAGTAGTGCCATCAAATACTACGAGGAATAGAAGACATTTTGGACTAGGAGCGGCTCATAACACGCCTGCTGGTATCCAAATGTAAGTCTGCCAAAAGCTAGGCGAGCCTCCACCTTTGAATTATTCATGTCAGTGTGCCTAGGGAGGGAGGGGGCAGGTGAGCGTGCGCTAGGCCCTAAGCTGCGCTGGGTAATAAGCTCGCCGTTGCCAGTGGGCCTCGAGAAGGTTGCGAATCGGAAGGAGGCTGCATGTGCACGGAACGCAGGGCGAGGTGGCAGTTCTCTGAAGCAACATGTTGTAAACTTCACCGCTTTCTTGTTGTGTTTTGTATCTTGTTCTCTCCAGGCTTCGTGGACTCGACCGGAGAAGCAAGAGGTATAGCTTACCTGACCGCTAGCCAGTCTGTAGCTCGGAAAGCATTACCGTTTAACTCACCCTTAGAGTTCATACTAATTAGTAACCTAGATTAAAGAGTAGGCCCATAGCCGTAGCGTCGTCTCAGGGGGAGCAAGCAAGCTGTGCTGGGAGTGGATGAGCAAATCCCTATTTTTGGCTAAAACTGGGTCTTCTTCTCTTGCTGGTGCTGGGGAAATCACACCCAGGTGATTACGCTTCCCAATTCCCAAGCCAGTCGTTCCGAAATGCTGAAAGTTTTTGACTCTCCCCCGGCTGATGGGGCTTTGAATCACGCAGTCCCAGGGTTAGCGATCTAAACGCCCGCCTGGCCCTTTCCCTTCCAGCTCAACTCATCTTGTTGCTCGCTTATTTTATGCTGGGTCCTGGTAAATTATCACGTCACATTTCATCTTGAAGTAATAATGCAAATGGCATGCCTCCTTGGTTCTCCCAAATTGTTAAACGTGTCCGTGCTATTTTCATAGAGCGTTCAATTGATGAGATTCGAACCATTTGGCACAAATGGCTTTATATTTTTTCAAAGTCGGTAGCCTTTAGCTTTTGAAATTTCTGACTCCCTGTGTCATTTTGGGTAATGTGGGACACAGTTTGAAAACTGGAGCTAAATATTAGTTTTTAGATTTTAATTGTTACACCCCCAACATACTGCTCATGATCACTCGTATCATTTTTACCTAATGTGTGTGATTAAGTGACAGGCAGTGAAATAAAAAGCAATATACTTTAGCTGAGGTTCAAGGATCTAATCTATAAATACTTTTTTAAAAAAAAAAAATAGAGTTTGTCTCTTCTCCAGATGGAACTTTGATATTGTAATGCTATAAATGTAGATGCTAGCAAGCAACCCTATAACTTGTATTATAATTAGATAAATCCATCCTCTTAGTCTTTCAGAAATGATAATTATTCAGAACACATAACTGCTGTGTTCAGGTCATGGCTATAAATATTTAATGCTGTTTAATATTTAAAGCTGACTGCCTATCCCCAGGCGCTGATATTAGTTTCTGCACATGAACACACTGCCATCGTCAACTCCAGTTCATTATCAGGTCTCTGTGCATCAGACCTTCCCTGTGTCAGAGGGACTACAGTTCAGTGCACATCTCACAGAAATGCTCCTTCCAGTGGCCCAGGAATCGCTCAGTGCTGTCATGGGCTGGGTGTTTTATTGCTTCAGAGTCATGGACACACTGGGATTGGGAAAGGGAGAAAGGGGTTAATTACCAGCCACTCCTGAGCAGCTACAGATCTCATTCTGCATGGCCCTGTACGTCTTCCCCCGTCACTCTGATTTAGACCCGGCTGCAGGAGCTGAGATTTATCAGGGAGCATTAGGAAGATGTTAAGAGAATTATTATCATAAGTGGGAGAATGGGTTTATTCCCAGGAAGGCAGACACCTCATTCCATTTTCTAAAAGTGTCCTTATCTTCAATATCTCACTCTGGACATCATTGACTTTCAAATGAGTGCCACCTTGGGGCTCAGAAGTTCCATTCCTTCCTGTTTGTCTCACTTAGAGATGAAGACCATAAGTCCAGACGAGCTCAGAAGGCAGCTTGGGGTATGGCCAGTTTCGTTCTGTACGCTCTGAAAAGCCTTAGTTAACACTTTGACCTGGAAGAAGAAAGACAAAAAGGTTTTGATGAGAGAATTAATTGTAATTGCCCTTCATACTCTTGCAAAACAGGGTCTTCTTGCCATAATGATCTTTACTTTCTTGCCCAGAGTTCATCTGCTTTCTCCAGAGCCTGTGGCATTTGGTCTGCGAGGCTTGTAGGTGGCGACGCTCCCTGACCTTGTCCCGATGCCACAGTAAACATTTCAGAAGGAGTTAGTCCAGTCGCACAGGAGTATGCCTGTGTCCCCTCAGAGGGAGAACTGGGCATTTGAAAATAGTCCCATCATCAGTCCTGTCTGTGAGCCCCTGCAAAATGAGAATTCTTTATAGAGGGCCGCCTGCTGGTCTGCTGACATCATTAAATGAGAAAAATCTTCAGATGGAGAAATTTAGGAAAGAGACCAGATAGAAGGGGAGAAAAGTATGGCTGTCAGTACAACCATTTGCTGAAATGGTTGTGATACGTGATGGGGCTTAAATAGCTGAGGAGGACCAGATCCGTCAGTGCTGGTACAGGGACGCCTTTGACGGATCCGCTGAGGCTGCTCATAGGCCGGGCGGCGCTTTGCTTTCGAGCTTCCCAAACTGGCTCCTGTATGATGTTGCGATTTGGGTTTGGGGCTTCCAAACCAGCACATCGAAAGAACCTGAAGCCGGGTATCCTTTCATCTCCTGAGCTTTTCTTCAACCATTTCTGGATTATTCTGAGTGGAGACTGCTCATGCCTTGCTTTGTGGTTATTGGTTAATGTCCTGCTCTTACCTACAAGAGTCTTTTTCATCTTCTGCTGCAGTATCTCTCCCTTATGGGAATGTTCTCTTGACTTCCCAAGGGTTCTGGTCAGTTTTCCATGTTTATGTGCGGTGGCCCCAGGACATGTCTGTGTGACGGAGATCTATAGTCCAGTCGCTGGCTGGCATCACTGTCAGCTGAGCCTGTGTTCTCACTGAGGTAACCAGAAGGCCAGTTGTGGACCTAGAACCCTCTCTGCCTCTCGTCCTGCTGTCTCTGGGTAAATAAGAGTGACAAGTGGGTCTGCTCAGCCTTTTAGAGCTACTTGCAGGGATAGCTTCATACTCTCGATGCCACTAGGTTAGACAGGTGGGCAAATATGCTGCATAGCACATGAAAATCGCCACTGGGACGTGTCAGCACAACTCTGGCAGCCCACAAAAATAGGGGTCCCAGGACTCAATATCTTCAACAAACTGGAAACTTTTGAGAAAGTCTTGAGGCTTTCAGCCAAGTGCTCTACACCTGTCTGTTGTCATCTCTTCCTTATGTGAGGCCACCTGGGGTGCAGTTTCTCAGCCAGTCGGCCTCAAGGATGTACAGGTCAGATGGAGCTGAGAGCCACAGGCATCGGGCATTGCTCTCGGAGCAATAGCTCGTGCAGCAGGAGGTGGTGATGCTGCTGCTTGGCTCTTCTGTCTCCTTGCTAACAGCTATGTTCTAGCTTCCAGATGTGAAATGCGAGGGGGCTGAAATGGCTGAAATGGATCAGATCCATCAGTGACGGGACAGGGATGACTCTGACAGATCTGCTGAGGCTCCTCACGAGGCCCAAGGTGCCTTGCCTTTGAGCTTCCCAAACTAGCTGCTGTATGATGTTGTGATTCTGGGCTTGGGGCTTCCAAACCAGCACATCAAAAAAATCTGAAGCCAAGTGTTGTTTCATTCTTTAAAGGCCCAAGTCCACTGGGTAACAGATGCCATACACATGCAGACATCTTACCTGTCCATGTCTGCAGAATATTACATGCTGGAGACAGAGTGTGGTCCAGCCTATGAAGAGTAAGGCTCCCCATAGGTTACCCACCTTCTTGAGGATCTGACTTGGGCCACATGCCCAGACTTTCCTTAGACCAGCAACCATTTACCTAGAGATTTATCTAGAGTGTCAAGAGGGGAAACACTGGGAAATATTCCAGCATCCATTGCCTAGGGATCATATGCTTATTTCACTTCTGACCAATCACTCTAGTTCCAGGGCCTCAGAGAGCCAATTATAGTATCAAGGGCTGGAAAATGGTGGTGACTGTGGTATCAGGGACCCCAGATCTGCCTTGGACTCGGTACCACTGTACCTGGAGAGGTGCCCTTCCTTCCAGCTCAGCAGCTCCTGACTTCTGAGTCGTTGGGCTTTAAAAAATAATAAAAATCATTTTACTTTTAAGCATCCAGGAAAGTGAGGCATCTGCATAAATATAGGTTTCTTATATAATTTCTTGCATTTCGGCACACTCGGATTTCCATTACGTGTGCATGCACCCCAGCACTGGCAGACGGGCCGGCTGCTGGGAGGGAAGGAGGGGAGTACCGGTTTCCCAGAATCCCATGAGGCAAGGTGGTTTCTGCTGGAAGAGCTGCTGCTCAGGGCTCGGCTTCCATCTGAGACGTGCCAAACAAAATCGTCTTGAGAGACCTTGAGCCACACCAGTCTTGGCACACAGCTAGGCTGCATGGCATAAACAGGGTTCGTTTCTGTTTTGAATACACCCAAGTTCCCACGGTGCTCTCTGCAGCCTCCCCACTAGTAGGAACCTAAAGTGAGACTTAGACGTTGGCAGGTGAGGAGAGAGGGTGTGAGGCTGGTCACACAGCGATGGCCTGGTCTCCCAGCCCCCGTCCCGCCTTGGGCTCTGACGCTCTGTGTTCCCTCTCGGCAGACTCTGGACGGGCACATGGTGGTGCGCAGCCACGCCCGCGTGTCGTCCCTGACCCTGAAGAGCATCCAGTACACAGACGCTGGAGAGTACATCTGCACCGCCAGCAACACCATCGGCCAGGACTCTCAGTCCATGTTCCTTGAAGTACAATGTGAGGAATAACTGCGGACAGGCCTGGGGAGGGAAGGGCCGGGGAGGGTCTGGATGAAAGGGGAACCGAGCAGCTAGGACCCGAGCTGCACCAGGCGAGCTCTGCTTACTTTCCCTGCTCACCTCCTCACAACATCCCCAGGCTTCTTACCAGCCCGCATGCCCTCTGTCTTCCCATGGAGCTCACAGGCTTGCCAGGACAGCCCCGACCTCTACTATACCCTGGCACCAGCTCTGCTTTAGGGCACACCCACCCCCCAGTGCCAGCAGACAGCATAGGTAGGGCTCTGTGATAGTGGCAGTCTTCCTGACAGTCACTGCCACTCATTGCAGATGCCCCCAAGCTGCAGGGCCCCGTGGCTGTGTACACTTGGGAGGGGAACCAGGTGAACATCACCTGCGAGGTGTTTGCCTACCCCAGTGCCACAATCTCGTGGTTCCGAGATGGTCAGCTGCTGCCAAGCTCCAACTACAGCAATATCAAGATCTACAACACGCCGTCCGCCAGCTACCTGGAGGTGAGTGGGGCAGGGCAAGGGGCAGGGTGGAAGAGGCAGTTGACTATAGAGAGGCTCCTGTGTGCAGCTAAAATCCCTCTTGCTTCTCCGGAGTGTCCTGAGCCGGGAGCCATTAGCTAGAGAAGAACCCGAGCTTCGGCCCAGCACCCCATTTCTCCAGTGCAGCACCAGGCCTGGGAGGCAGAGCGTGCCTCCTCCACGAGCTCCTGCTCCGTGCTGCTCTCTGGCTTAAGGCTGGGCTGGAGCTAATGATTCCTGCTTTATTGGTTCTACCCTTTACTAATTTAATCCAACGAATAAGGATCTGAGGCTGTGGCCATCCCCTGGGACATGTGACCCGAGAGCTCCTTCTTTCTAAAGGTGACCCCGGACTCCGAGAATGATTTTGGAAACTACAACTGCACCGCAGTGAACCGCATTGGGCAGGAGTCTCTGGAATTCATCCTTGTACAAGCAGGTGAGGGCCCCTCGTGGCCTCAGACCCCTTAAAGCCCTTGCTGGCCTATTTTGTGACCTTGGGTGATGCCAGGAGGGTGAGAAGGAGAGAGGTCCAGGGTCAGCAAAGCTGGAGGGGCAGGAAGCAGGGAGCAACGGAAGCTTGAGCATCTGGGCAGGGGAGTGCCAGAGAGAACCGTGTGGCGAGGTGTGCTGGGAGGACAGGACGCAGGCGAGATTCCAGACAGCAGGAACGGGAGAGGCACGATTGCGAGTTGTGTCCTGCCTGGGGCTCACCTGGGGCTCATGTGTGTTCCCCCCGCAGACACCCCATCTTCGCCGTCCATCGACCAGGTGGAGCCATACTCTAGCACAGCACAGGTGCAGTTCGACGAGCCAGAGGCCACAGGCGGGGTGCCCATCCTCAAATACAAGGCCGAGTGGAGAGCAGTGGGCGAGGAAATGTGGCACTTCAAGTGGTACGACGCCAAGGAAGGTGAGTCAGAAGAGCGTTTCCTTCAGAGTGACGATGCCCTCGGTGCTGGGCGCACATTCACCCAGCATTCCCCAGACCCTGGCACCCTGACTGCCCACTGGGTGGGGTAACACACCACTCTCACCTACTGGGGGTGACCAGGATGCAGTCACCTGCCATCCTTGCATGTTCCTATGCTGCTACACCATCACTGTCCCCTCAGAATTAGGGCACGGTTACAGTTCATGTAGACTTACTGGCCTTCTGTCCCTGGCCCTTCAGAGCCTGGTTCCCGTGACCCTGCCAGGGTGGAGGAGCCAAGCAGAAGCCCTGCTTCGGTGTGAGCACAGCCACTGAGTCCAGCCCACCCCGCCTTGCATGAGTGGGTTATATGTGCTGCTGGCTCCCTGCCATCACTTCGCAGTCCAGCTTGGGTACATTCAGGACTGTCATGCAATTATAATATTAACCAAATAAGCAGATCCAGCAAGACAAGTCTGCTCTTAAGTCAATCCTGTGATGTATTTCCAACTAAAGATTTTAAAAGGACCCTTGGATGACTGCACCTTGAAGATTCTGAGCCCAGT